TTAACAATCCGAGCAAAAATGAAACAAATAAGTAATGAATACCTCTCATAAATCTGGTCACAAGACTTGACTTTCCAACGCCTCCGCCCCCGAACACCACTACTCGATAGTCGTTACTTTGTTCCGGCATTTGGCTGTGTCTTCGCACTAATTATTTCTATTTATAATATTTTTATTATTAAATGGGTTATTGTATTGATTTTTAATTATTATTAAAATAATTCAGAATTATTAACATAAAAATTGATTTCAATCTAAAAATGGTTTTGATGATATAATCGATTTCTAAATCAATAACATAATACAAGAAACAAAGAATAATAGCACAGAATTTAAAAAGTTATTTGAAAAATGAAAAGGATTTAAATGAAAATATATGTTTTGATAGGTTATGAAAAATGGGGTCAAATATCTAAAATCAATGTTTCAACTTAGGGCTAAATGTGTTCAAACACTTCCAGCACACCATTAATTCTGGACTAAAGAGTGTTTCAGATATTTATTTTCATTAGAATTGTTGGGAAATGAAAGCAAAAAAGTGTCGAGAGATCTGAGATAAAGCACACAATGAATGAGTTTTCTCTATACAGTATAGACTATACTATTCACTCAAATACTCAAATAAATCAAAAGATCGGTTGTTAATGTTTCACAAAACGCATAAACTTATGGTAAAAATCATAAATTCTTTGGTTGTATTGCATTTGTTTATCGGATAAGACACATGTATTTATGGTTATTTATGACAGATATTGCATATTGATTTATATACCATTCATTAGTACGAATCAGTAGTCCACAACAATTATCGATTCAAGAGTGTCTTTAAAACACAAACCATAATTATAAGACAAATGTGTTTTCATAATTTCCAACAAATATTAGGCAAATCGTTTACTACACGAAAGAGAGTGACTATTATTCTGTAATAAATCTTATCTAATGCTCACATCATTGAGACATGAGTTTAACATCTAATATATTCAGTAATATTGAGATGCAATGCGTGTGAATATGATTCATAAAAGTATTAATATTTATGATAATTAGTCGAAACAGTAATGAACTGAAAAAATGAGAGCAACAAATATAATGCAAATGTGATGCAAATTGCAATGCATTCATTTTTTTTTATTATGCATTCATATCTTGGAGATAAAAAGTAGAGCACAGACAGCACTTACCTTCCCATTGCAATATACAAACAAAGTACTCAACATTACAGAACTATTCACTACATACTATACTGTTTCTAATATATAGATAAATATAAGAATTATATGTAAAGAATAAGTGATTGCATTTTTCCATATACCAGTAATATACTGTGTACAGCATTTTCATAAATGAGTGCTTTCACGGTTCACTGAAATTCTCAATAAAAACACTCAAAAACATTGGTTTCACTCACTTTTGTATACTATATTAACTATCACTCTATTCCTGTTTTTATTCATGCAAAATGTTTATGATTAATAGAATTACATTTAAAACTAAAATTCGGTACTAAAAACGCTTTTCACATATTCTGAAAACTTTTATTAAAATAAATACCTTTTAAAAGGATTGCACCCAATCATTTCTGTTGGATTATTATTTGGATTAGTTGTAGGGATAATAAGAATAATTAGAGAAAATTATATTAACTTATTTACTTGAATTTATTGAAATTTTTATTGTAGTCAGCTTTTCAGACAATTTATAATTGAAATTATCTAATAATATAATATTTTATTCTATATTGTAAATTCACAATCATAACTTTAGTATTAAATGTTTCAAGAATCCGGAAATAAATTCTGTACACCTTTTCTCTTTACAATATTCTTGTCTACAGAATTCAATGCAATAAATACAAAATTGCAATTATAGTGAAAATTTTATGGATAATTCAAAATTGGATTATTCATTTGGAAAAGAATTGCAAATAAAGGGCGTAAGAATTGAATATAAATATTGCAATTAAATGTATTACAGTACTTACACTTTTCGCAACAAGATTTTCAAAGCCAATGCAAACAAACAGAGATTAAAAATAATTTAGCGTTGTTTTCACTAATTTATGATTAATATTGTTTTTTACTGAAAAAATAAAACAAAATAATTGGAGAAAATAAAAAGCAGTAAATTTAGGCCAAATTATTTGACATATTATCTGTTAATCCGTTATATATAACCATATATATACGGAATGAACGGTAGGATTGGAAAGGCATGCAAAACGAATGGATCAAAAGGTAAACTTAGGTCGCGTTCACTTCAATGCTATATTCGGTTATCTTAGAGGGAAGTAGCGATTCAATGGGCCATCGCTATGACAACTCTATTGATTTGTACTGTATTTCTGGTGCATTCATACCATAGAGCACTGGCTGGTCGGCCACTGAACGCATTCTCTCATAGTTGACACACAATTCCGAGGGAACAGACTCACCGAGAATATCGATTAGAATATTACTAATGCTATATATGAATGCAATGCACTATCAATGCAATTGGGTTTACTGTACTCTCCCAGACCTCACCAGCCTTTAAGCCTTTAGTCTCTCTCTCTCTCTCTCTCTCTCACACACACACACACACACACACACACACACACAACTCACTTCTCTCACATCTATATACAAGGAACTGAATGTTTGTGTTGACGAACCCATAGCTAACTGAGGGAACGGATCAAAAACCGATCAAAGAGTGCGAGCAATGGCATGACTGGTCCAGGGCTGGCCTTCTCTCTCATAATTCAGTGACACTACAGTACAGCACAATAGGTTGTGTGGATTCTTGTGATTCTGGAGGACTTGATTCGTACGAAACAGTCAAACACTTGAATACAATTCAATGAAAAGCAAAACGACGAGGAATTCAATCATAAAATACTGGAATTACGAGAATGTGTGCCCTTTTTGCCCGGGATTTCAGACATTCATTTTCATATATATTCACATCAATCGTCAAAAATAATGACTCGCTTTCATTATTTCTACACAAATAGTCGTTTAATGATTAGAATTTTGACATTTAAATTAAATATTATTTTTGATGAGACTTTAATTAAAAACATTAATGTGAATATAGACTCACATAAACATATTCATAGAAATTTCATTACAATACAGAGAATCTAAGTGTGAATAAGGAATGCATATTAAAATGTTTACATAAACTGTTGGGCGTCGAGTGAATCCATTAATTTGACCAGGTTCTCTATATTGTCGACCAAACCACTCAAATATTTAGGCATTTCGTCTTTGAACGCCATCCAAGTCTTGAAGAGGACTGTTTCGGTGCTCTTCCGGACGGCTTCTGGTGTACTGAACATCACGAACACTGAACTCAATATCCTGACGATCAGGTCTTTGAGGTATTGAAACCACGCTTTCGTTGTGTCCACTACTCTGAACACTCTCTGGACAGCCGCCTGTGCGTTGCTATCAGGGAAAAAAGCACCCAACCATGGCCCACCTCCCATATGATCTCCCAGACCGCCTCCAAGGCCACCCAGTGCTGCGCTGGCAAGGCTTCCCAAACCTCCGAGACCTCCTAACCCCTCCAGACCTTCTAGACCTCCCAGTGCTTCCAACGGATCCTTGTGTTTTCGACACTCGCTTTCATTTATAATTAAACAAAATAATAAAAATCCACAAAATATCAGATATTTTTCAATTGTAAATAACATTATAATTTTTGTTCCCAAAACTCCTACGTTTAGAGTTTAGTCAATAACTAAATACACGTGTATTTAAGGATATTTAAAATTTCAATTTAATTAATAATGAATTTCCCTCATTATAGATACAGTCTCCCGCTTTAAGAGATACTACATACAAACTTATACCTGTCCAATTACCAACATATTTAATATTGCGACACAAATAATTTTTAAATTAACAAATTACTAAAATCAATTGTAATAAGACATTTTAAATAAATATTATAGACTATACTATTATAGAATAGAAAGTATTATATTATTATAGTTAAACAATTTAAAATAACTCGACTGTATATTACGACTGCAAAACTTCCTGCATATCAAATAACACGAGTTTTTAAATCTAATAAATTTATTTAACACATAAGCGACAATATACTGTACGGCAGATACTATTACTGCTAGAATTTAATAGAGAAATCATTTTCCGTTAAAATAGTGAACAAAACTGAAAAAGCAAGGAAAATGTCATTTATTCCAACGACTCGTTTATTTTTAACATAATATAAGACGAAAAAAAGCTTTTTGTGTTAAAAATAAGTGCACAAAAAAAGAGTTCACTTTATATTTCATAAATAATATAAACTTTTCTTGTGGAGTAATCATTCATTTTGATTGATAAAAAGTAATCCAAAGTAAAAATTAGGTAAAAATGATTAAATTAAGTAAAATTAAGTAAATTAATTAAAAATAATATACAAAAAATAATGTGTTTGTCTGGTGTATAATATTATAGTTTGATTTGAAAAAAATTGATTAGAAATAATTCAATTAAATTTGAGATTATTGTAGAACTGGAGTGCATTGGAGTCTACGATCACACTCTTTGGATTGAAATCAATAATTCTTAGGTTTGACAGCGTTTTACAGCGGGAAAGGGCTACATATGTCTGTCCGCACTCGAACACCCGGGCCAATGAGATCTCCACTCCGTTATCGATAGTCATTCCCTGAGATTTATGTATAGATAGAGCCCAAGAGAGCTGAAGCGGAAGATGTCTTCGCATTACGTACTTCTGGTTCGACACTCTTATGACCCAATTCTCTGGTTTGATGACTGTTTGGCAGCCATTAATGAATTCAATGCGAGGGTAACAGCAGTCATGCCTTTCCTTCTCAAAAGCAATCACTTTTCCGTTCAAACCATTGACGAGCCCTCGACTCACGTCTATATTCCTGTTTAGCATGACTTGAGCGCCGATTTTGAGCCCAAGAGTCCTATTGGTGGGACACATGCTGTCAAACAGTAGCGCATACTTGGGATCACTGTCTTCGGCGGTGAACACAACGCATTTGCTGTCAATAGCACTCAATTGTCTGCTGTTAATGAGGTCGACATCATTGCGATGCGTGTAGAGACGGGTGGGACACAAGTCCTTACACTTGAGATCATTATTGAGTGTATCGAGGATTTGAGTGGTCATCAAATGATCGCAATTTCCGATTCGTATGTTTTGCAGTAATCTTATGAACGTGTGGTCACTCTGACGCTTAACATGACTTAATTGAAACGAGTGGCCAATACACTGGTCCCAAGACGTGCTCTGAAAGGCAAACACCTTCTCCTCATCCCTGCGAGTAATGGGTGGCAACTGAAGAAAGTCTCCGCAAACCACTAATTGGATGCCTCCGAAGGGTTGGTCACAATTGCGGACTATTTTGGCCACACTGTCCACTAATTGGAAGTATTTGCCGCAAACCATTGATATCTCGTCAATGATAAGACATTTGCATTTACGCCATTTATTCACTTTGCATGCGTTGGACATCAACTTCAGAGCGCATTCTTCGGCAGAGGCGTCGCGACTCTGGTCTGGTGTGAGACCCGTAAACATATGCAAAGTCATGCCTCCGATGTGTGAGGCGGCGATCCCGGTGCTGGCCGTCACGTATGTCGTGTCGGGCGGCAGTCGTGCAATAATAAAGCGCAACAGATATGACTTCCCGGTGCCGGCGCTGCCCGTGAAGAACACACTGCGACCGCTCACCACAGCAGACATCACTCGCCTCTGTTCGCCAGTCAACCGGTTTTCGTTCAAAAGTCTCATTTGTCTCACAGGGGATGGTATCAGCGCTTCCATTGTCTGTCTTTTACGCACACTTTGCTCACAATTCTCGTCCCTTTCAATAAGTTTTCGCTTTTTGAGTGACTTTTTGTGCAAACATTTGCTGGATTTGGGCGACTCTTGCACTCCATTGCCATTCAATGCATTCAATGCCATGTTTTGTGCGTTTAGTCGCCGTTTGATCGCAACGTTTCTGTCGATGTCTTTGGCACTCAATGGACTCATTTCGTCAAACATTGTGTGTTTGTCTGCCACCAGACGTTGTCTCATGTCTTGGACACCACTCCACTCACCAGTACTTCGCTTATAATAATCGCATTTAAAGACAAAACATTTGAGGAATAGTGACAACTGATTGGACGGACAGTTGGAGATGAATATACAGACATTGGGATCCGTTAGAGTGATACTGGACTTGCCGTCCAATACGAAGCGAGTGTTGAGTTTGTAGTTGAGTTTAGTGTGCATTAAGACAAACTGATGGACACTTCGACCACTCTTGCGGTCGTCCACTCGGATCACACAGTCTTTGAGCGCATTCCTGCCCAACGTTACCATCGCTTCACTGATGACACACCTGTTGGACAGACTGTTGTCGCGGCGACAATAGGTCTCAATAGTGACGGCACACAAGAGTTTGGGGATTTGGACACTCATTTCAATCACTACTAACTGTAATCACTATTTACTAATCAATGCATCAATACATGAATACATGAATCCATGAATCACTCACTTTTGTGTGTATTTTGTTGGTTTCAAATTTAAATCCTATTTAAAAGCCAATCGCTGACTGCTCATTGGCTCACAGCTATGACTGCCCGGCCGTTGCTATGAGTGATTGTGAGCACAACCTATCATATTAGTGCCAAACACATGCTATGGTGAGTGCCATCTATGATGTAATATTGAATGCAAAATCTGGAAACTCATAGAAAATATTTGATGGAGTTTGATGTATCAAACTTTAATTCAGTATTTTGGAATATAAATAATTACTGTATCTTATGTATCTTGGTCAATTCTTATGCGATTTATAAATTTCAAAAATTATTCTACGTAAAATCCAAATGCGTTTGACATATGCTAATTAGTTTTTAAAATCATACTTTTAATTCTAACTTTTTAATCAGTTATCCAGATCAAATCTGTAAAGTGCAATGAAAAGAGAACAAAAAACCTAGCCTAGTCAATAAGAAAAACAATTTACAAAATTGTATTTCAGTCTATATTTCTATAAAGTTAATTTTTAAAAACAAATAATTTTAAAATTTAATAAATAAATAATAATATTTTAGTACCTAAACTGTAATAGTTTTAATAGTTGATCTAGACCAGTGGTGTATAAATGAGTGAATAGAGAGTGAAAGTGTTTACATTAAAGTTTTGTGTACAAAGCGTATAATGTGTTGTCTATTGAATGCACTACATGTGTATTGCTATACACTTTCGCATAACTGTATGCGTGTCCTTTAGTGATGTTAAGTCTTTGCATTGCAGGGAACTGATGGGATCCAGTGGTGTCTGTGATTTGTAGAGTACAGACATTTTTATTGCAAGAAATCACTTGTCTGTAGGTGTCCTCAATAGTTGGTATATATGAGTCGCGAAAAGTTCCTGAAGTGAAACATAATAACTATATTATACTCTAAAAACTTAATTGAGTCGACAATTGTATTATATTATAAAACAAACAAATAACTAATTGAAAGCTAATTATAGCTCTCTCTCTCTCTCTCTCTCTCTCCCTCTCTCTCTCCCTCTCTCTCTCTCTCAAAGCGACTTTCTGTTGTATTCTATTATACTAGTAATTATAACATAATTAGTGATTTATAGACTTATATAGAATTGACATTTAGTATATGCATCTATACTAATTTGAAATTAAATATTGCGGAAATCTATTTCTAGTTAAACTCTATATAAATTAGTTAACAATCCGAGCAAAAATGAAACAAATAAGTAATGAATACCTCTCATAAATCTGGTCACAAGACTTGACTTTCCAACGCCTCCGCCCCCGAACACCACTACTCGATAGTCGTTACTTTGTTCCGG